TTCGTCCGTAAATCTTTCATGGCGCTTTTGAAGAGAAACGGAGAGAGCACTGCTCCTTGCGGTGTTCCGACTCCGCCCAGAGTTTGCAGGTCAGATTGGAAACCGCCGATCGAGACCTGCACCTGCCTACTTGATAGGAAGTTCTGCATGTATTTGAAGATGCGCTCGCCCACATCAATGGAGTTTAGCCCACGGAGGATGGCTGCGTGACTGACATCGTCGAATGCTTTCGAGATGTCGAGCCCGAGTATGGCTCCGGGGTCCCTTTTGAATGCGTATTCCCGTGCCATAAACTGATGATACGGTCAGAGCATCACGTCTTGCGTCGAGAGCTTAGGTCTGAACCCGACCATCGCGTCCGCGAAGATTCTGTTGGCTTCTGCGTACCTGTTAAGGCGATTGAGTACGACATGCCCCAAGACCTTCCCGAGACAGGATGTGGGCGAGATGGGGCGCAGGGCGTCCAGTTGAAGTTTTTTTCCCAGGCTTGGGTATAAACACCATCTTCGCAGTCTTCCAGGATTCTGGGATGTCTCCTGTTTGGCAGCCGACGTTGAAGTATGATGTTAGCCGGTCAATCTCTCTGTCATCCAAGCGGCGCAGTAGCTTGTTCGAGACTTCATCAGGTCCTGAAGCGGAGCGGGTCTTGAGCTCTCGGATCGCAGCCATGGCTTCGAAGGGTCGGAACTCTTCGTGTAGCGTGGGGTTTGGCTGGCCCGTGTATTCCATCGCAGGTGTTGGCGGAGCTCGTCCGATATACTTGTTCTGTACTGCTTGGACAAGCTCTTTTCCATCTCCATTGAATTAGTTCAGGATACACTCCATCTGATTTCTGACTGTGACTCGGCTTTGTCCGGCGTCGAGGAGATGTCGAAGGATGTTCCACGTCTTTGGAGTGTTGGGAGCTCCTTCGAACTCATTGCAGGTGTCTTCCCATTGCTGAGTTGTGAGATAGGTGGCGTGACTATCAATGGTCTTGTACAATGTTGCGATTCACTTGTGTAGCCAACGATTTCCTTTCTTTCGCCTTAAGCGTGCTTCAAGGTTTGTCTTCATTTCCCATAGGTGCAGGAGCCGACTGTCCGCCGCGGTCAGATTTGCTTCCTCGGGAATGTTTCTTGTGGCTGAGGCTTCAACTTCTCTGATGCCTGCGGTCCACTGATCCAGGTTCTTGATCTCTCCGTCTCGGTCCACTTCGTCAAGCTCCTGCCTGAAAGTGTCCCACTCGACTACACGCAGAGGCCTTCCCATGGGCTTCGTAGGGCCGCGTCTCAGGAGAATGTTGAGGATATAGCGGTCACTGCCCAGAGTTTCCAGGGTGTCGTGCCATTCTGCGTTCAAGCAGTGACCGAGTGTCAGGTCTGGTGATGTGTCTTTGCATCCGCCCGTGGCTTTCCGAGTTGGCTGCGTCGGGTTTGTGAGTAGGTCTAGTCCCAGGGTGGCAATGTCCTGCCAAAGCTGCCGACCCTTAGCGCTATCTTGCGGGTAGCACCATGACATGTGTGGTGCGTTAAAGTCACCAACGATGAGCAGAGCTTTTCCCTTGGCCATGTCTATGGCGGCGCGCAGGAGCTGGTGAAACGGGTGTCGTGCCTTCGGAGGACTGTATACATTGAGGATGAACGTGTTGCGATGGCTCTTCTTCTTGCCAGCCAGGATTTCGATGAAGGTGTGCTCGATGTTTTCGATGCCGGTTGAATGAAGTTGTGCTGATAGGTTGCGTCGCACTAGCGTGGTGACTCGTACGACCCCTGATGAGTTGGTGTGATTAGAGGCTTGGTATCCCGGAATGGTGATGGCCTTCCACGTTTCTTGTATGGCTAAAACGTCTGGTCTGCGTTCTGGTGGTAGGGATTGTAGGTACTGGTGAAGGTGTCCCCTCTTCGGAGCCAAGCTTCGTCAATTCCACTGCCACACAATGCAACCTTTACTTGTTTTGGCCGTTGTTGGGTTGCGGGAGTCTGTCAAAGATGGTCTTCAAGTAGTGCTTTACTTCGCGCATCTCGCCTTCCAGCTGGTCTCTGCGTGTGTCTATGTCTTGGTTGGTCGTGTCCTGTTGCATGGCCACTCCTTCATCCTTGGTGGTTGTGCCCGAGGGGGTAGAGGTGAGTTGTGTCATGTTGCGGCAGACAGCCCTCCTCTTGGGAGTTGGTCCTGCTTCATTTCTCGGCAAGTCGAGTTGCTGCTGTACTGCGTTATTTATTTATTTATTTATTTATTTATTTATACATACTGCAGCCCCACTGGGGCTATGGCAGGAGTGGGAGGTAAACACAGACGGTCCGGACATCACTGTGGACCACTGTCAACGGCACACAGAAATTCATCTGGTTGTAGTGATCGGATGTTTCCTGGTAATAAATTCCAGCGTTCAATGGTGTGAGGAAAAAAACTGTATTTAAACATATCAGTACGAGGATGAAAAGGTAAAATGTTTAATTCATGGTGGCTCCTAGTTGCAGTTGGCTCGAGAAACTTTATGTAGTTATGTAACGAGTCAAAACGTGATGAGTTAACCATGAAATACAGAGACTTTAGGCGCTCGATACCACGACGCTCAGAAAGAAGTCTTAGACCTAACACGGAAAGATTAGAAGAAGGAGAAAAGTTTCTGTCATACCGACGACAAATAAAACGTACCGATTTCTTTTGTACTGATTCGACCTTTTTTATATCGGACTCTTTGTAGGGAAACCAAATAATAGAACCATATTCGAGGATTGGGCGAATCAAAGTTTTATAAGTTAAAAGCTTAGTATCTTGTGGTGCCACACGTAAGGTACGCCGCAGGTATCCAAGTCTTTTAAGAGATTTGTTACATGTCGTATCAATGTGCTTAGACCAAGATAAATCAGGCGTGAAAAGAAGGCCAAGATATTTATATTCAAAAACTCTTTCTAGGCATAACCCGTCAAATGAATAATTAAACACAGAAGGTGATGAACGCCTAGAAAAGGTCATAAAAACCGTTTTACTAAAATTCAGGTTCATTTGCCAGGTTTTACACCACGTACAAAAATTCACGAAAGAATTGTTAAGAGTTATATGGTCATCTGAGGAGTTTATCACATGATATAGTACGCAGTCGTCAGCGTAAAGTCGGACCTTAGTGGAAATACAGCGTGGCAAATCATTGATATATAACAAGAAAAGTAGCGGTCCAAGAACTGACCCTTGTGGAACACCTGATGATACGTCAACTGTACTAGACTTGGATGAGTTAAAGTAGACAAACTGAGACCGTTGGGAAAGAAAACTGGATATCCAGTTCACAAGGTGATGATTATTTAGAATTAGGTTAAGCTTGTGTAGGAGTTTAGAATGAGGAACGGTGTCGAAAGCCTTTGACAAATCTATAAATATCGCATCAACTTGGTTACCGATGTCAAGAGACAGACCGATATCATGAACAAACTCTGTTAGTTGTGTCATAGTACTATAACCGCGTCGAAAACCATGTTGGAAATCGCATAAAATATTGTTAGTATCGAGAAACTCTATTACATGCCTGTAGACTATATGTTCCAATAATTTGCATGAATGTGACGTTATAGAAATTGGTCTATAGTTTGACAGTGATTGTGAGTTGCCAGATTTGTATACGGGAATAATTTTTGCGAGTTTCCATGATGAAGGAACTGTGGCCGTTGACAGTGATTTCTGAAAAATAACCGTGAGATACCGACTGCACCATTGGGAGTACCTGACAATAAATGAATTAGGAATGTCATCAGGACCAGGACTTTTTTTAGTGTCTAACTTCAAAATCAGGTTTAGTACGCCCCGAACGTTCACATCTATGTCGTCAACCGCAGACTGCGAAACATGAGTAAAAGGAGGAACTTCGAAATTATCAACTGTAAATACTGACTGAAAGTACGTATTAAACGCTGTAGCGATTGTCAGCGCGTCCATAGTAGTTACGTCGTTAATTATAAACGAGTTTGAAATTGTGCTGCCTGGTAAAATAGATTTCCAGAATTTTCGAGGGTTGCATTTTATTAAGTTTTGTAAGGTAACACGGAAATAGAAGTCCTTCGCGGAATTAGTTTTTAGTCGGAGTTCCTCCTTAGCTTGAATAAACTGAGCAGACTTTACTGGGTCAGCGCAACGTTTTCCACTCCGCAGTCTGCCGACCCGTCGCGATAAATGTAATAATTCTCTTGTTATCCAAGGTTTGCCAATGTTACTTTTTTTAGTTTTGAGTGGCACAAATCGCTGGATACACGATTTAACCAAGTCTTCAAAAAATGTAATGAGTACATTCACGTCACTGGAGATACTAAGTTGTTCAAACACTTCAAAGGAATAGCTTAATGAGTCAATTATGGACACATCATCGGCACGGTTAAAATCAGGAAAAGTGTGGTAAACAAAACGTGTTTTAGGGACAGGATAAGCAACAGAAACAAAGACTGCCCTGTGATCTGATATACCGTCAACGACTTCACATTCAAAATGGTTTTCTAGAAGAGGTATACTAAGAAATACCAAATCTAAAACTGACGACTCTCTCGTGCTCTCCTGAACAATCTGTTTTAAACCAAATGACAAAGAAAAGTTCACTAACTCTCTAGATATTTGAACGTCAGGACCAGATAGCGACAAAGACGACCACTGGATGCCAGGTAAATTGAAATCACCCATTAATATTAAATTGGAAGAAGACAGGTTATGCTCGTACATAAAGTCACATAAAGCATGTAACTGATCAATGGGAGAGCCGGGAGGGCGGTAGACAACGCCAACAACTAAAGATATATTATCCACATTAAGTTTGCACCACACTGATTCAATCTGGGGAGGACCCTGTATAACTGAAAATTTAATATTGGACTTTAAAAAGAGTGCGACGCCACCGCCACGCCCGTACTTTCTATCACCTCTAACCACGCAGAAACCAGAGGGTGTAATTTCGGTGTCGTATATGCCATCATGTAACCATGTTTCAGTGACTCCAATAATGTGAGCAGAGTGGGAAGGAATTAGTGACAGAAAATCGGGGAACTTGTTTACTAAACTTCTGGCGTTAACATTCAAGACACAAAGATTTTCACTTAAACCGTCTTTTAAACCGCGGCCGAGTCAACGACCACCAGTAGATGGGGCGGTGGTAGTAGACTGGGCGGAGTAGTCGGAACACTTAACCAGAGTATTAGTTTTAACATCCCAATTATATCGCTCATTATTGATGAACACATGATCATATCGAAGGCGAACGGAGGAGCCACTGTCACGGAAAGAGGCCGTCGCTTCCCATATTTTCTTTCGAACAGAACGGACATGAACAGAGAAGTCTTCCGATATACGAATATCTGAACCCTTAAGCTTGAAAGAATTTTTCAATACTTCCATTTTTTCGCGAAAATCAAGGAGTTTCATAATGACAGGACGTGAACGATCGTCGTGTTTTCGACCTATTCTATGGCACCCTTCAATACGTGGGCAGTCAATAATCAGTTTATCCGAGAATATTTTTGATACGTTAGAGAGTAATGACTCACTAGTTTCGTCTGCGCTTTCGGTGAGGCCATATAAGATTAGATTATTTCTGCGCGAGCGGTTTTCCATGTCGTCATTCCTCGCGACGAGTCTGTCTACCACACCAGACAATGACTTAAGCTCTATAAGCAGATTGTCACAAGATGTACAAGGGACACTTGGCGTGACAGAAGGCGACTCGAGGGCAGCCACTCGTGCTTCAAGAGCGTCAAATCGGGAGTTAACTGACTGTTGGAATAATTTGATTTCAGCTATGTCCTGAGCCATCTTTTTCTGGCCAGCCAGCAATTCAGCAAACATATCCGAAACTGTGGGTTGTCTCTCGATATCTCTTCCGTCATTATCGCTCTCACCCGAATTAGCAGCCCTCGAGTCCTCTGTAACCGAAACTACGTTATCTTGTTTTGTTTTTTTGCTGTCTTTTTTTGGTGGTCCTGGATTCGTTTCAACGTCTCCACTAAGGAGAAGGCTATTGATGCAATACACCAGCTGAGAGCACAGGTCAACAAAACAACAAATACCGTGATCGTATCCATGTGGGCGAGGAAATAGCAGTAAAAAGCGATTATCGGACCGTACACAATGAGCGTTCTGAAGGTAACATACCTGCGAAAGAAGCAGACAGCGGTTGAGCATACTGTCCTCGCTGCTATCGCCTCGCCCACTGAAGAGGAAAGATGCCGGTGAAGCTTTTCTATCCTCGTTAACCGACGTCACAGAACTGGGCCTTTCAATGCTTGGACGATCCAGGAGGGCATCACCGACGGGGGTGACTTGCAGGTTCACGGTTTGTAGGCCGTTAAGGAAACCGTGAACATCCTCAATTCCGCTGGCAAGGAAGTCCGTGGACGAACAAGACGGGTCGACCACGCAGCATGGAACAGTTGACGAAGCAGGAAGCGCCGGCAGTAGCTGGTATCCGTGCGCCGCGGTAGCATTGTACACAGGAACAGCGAGGGACACGAAGAACTGCGAAAGAAGCAGACAGCGGTTGAGCATACTGTCCTCGCTGCTATCGCCTCGCCCACTGAAGAGGAAAGATGCCGGTGAAGCTTTTCTATCCTCGTTAACCGACGTCACAGAACTGGGCCTTTCAATGCTTGGACGATCCAGGAGGGCATCACCGACGGGGGTGACTTGCAGATTCACGGTTTGTAGGCCGTTAAGGAAACCGTGAACATCCTCAATTCCGCTGGCAAGGAAGTCCGTGGACGAACAAGACGGGTCGACCACGCAGCATGGAACAGTTGACGAAGCAGGAAGCGCCGGCAGTAGCTGGTATCCGTGCGCCGCGGTAGCATTGTACACAGGAACAGCGAGGGACACGAAGAACTGCGAAAGAAGCAGACAGCGGTTGAGCATACTGTCCTCGCTGCTATCGCCTCGCCCACTCTCTGGGTTTGGCTAGTCGACGCGGAGTTCTGCTCCGTGACCTGGATCGGCCCCTCGATCTTGATCTCGCGCCATGCGTCTCAAGTGGGGGGAACTCGGAGCTGCGCACGGTTGGGCTCTCGGCATTGGTAGTATCTGGTGGTGCGGCGGGTTTCGCCTTGGGTGGAGTGCGAAATAATTTCTTGCACTGCCTTGCTCCCGTTGGGTGACCCTCGCCACACATTCCACACGTGGGCACACATATGTGGCCTTGTTCGGGGTTGAGCGTACCGCAAGTACGACATCTCGTTGGGCCTGTTCTTGGACACAAATCAGCACGGTGTCCTACGTCACCGCAGTTCTCGCAGTACTCTCGTTTCTTCTTGTGAAGAAAGCATCGCGTTTCCACACAGCCATATCGTACCCAGAATGGAACGCGGCGACCCTGAAAGAGGATGATAACCTAGTTGGACTGACCCATTCTCCTCGCTTGTACGACGCTCGGGTTGCCGCAGTGTACCAAGCTCGTAGTGATTATGTCATCGGTGTCTTCCGCAGGAATGCCATGGACGACCCCTTGACGGTATCGTCTGGTGCTGCCACGTACCTTGCTACGGGGTACTGGCGACCGTCAACTTCAATGCCTTGGATAGAATTGAGTTTTCCCGCTCGAGTTTCGTCGGGCGTGCTGAAGATCAGCGTATTCTCCTGCTCGTTGTACCTAAAGATGTCGGTTCGAAATAGTGCGATGTCGTCTATTTCCGCCTCCTTGGAAACACTTCGTTGGAGAACTATGTGATTTACCGTTCGCAAATTCAATCCTCCCCTGAGTCGCAGAACTACCTTGATGTCGTCCTCCTTCAATCTAGTCGGCATTGGCTTCGAAGTCGAGCGAGGCCTATTTGCTACTTGGCACCAACCGTGAGGCTTAGCAGCGTTCTGGAGAGTTCTAGAGGCTTCTTGCCTCTTGCGTAACGCCTTTCGGACCGCCATTGTCCACCCAGCTCCCTTCGCATAGAAATCCTTCTCGGAGATATCTTCCCCCAAAACTACAGCTCGACCCAGGGAATACGTAGGATCACCGGTGGTTTCTCCTCGAGGTGCCGAAGTCTCCGACGCATTCGACGAGCGGTCAACTTCCATGCCGATCGACTTTTGCGATTTTCGACGTCCAGGGGTTGAATGTCGGCTTCGCTGACCACAGACGCTAAAAGTAAAGCACTGGCTAGCACATTTCCGCACAGAATTCAACAAAACCGGTGGAGCCCATTGAAGCCTGCCAGCAGCGGCGACCCGCTTCTTTTTGGCAGGGTCTATTCTGCCGGCAGCCGGCAGAATAATTTTTCCGAAATTCTACCGGCAGTCACCTCCGGCGCGTGTATCAGTGGGGAGCTCGTTAACATAGCCCCCCCCCCCCGCTCCCCCTCCTTTAGCGGCGACAGTCTGCGGCTGCTCATTAGAAATATATTGACCTATTTGGCCCACCAGTACCACCGCATCGCGGCGGCGTGCCGGCCGGCCCAAGCCCCGCTGTCCTCCATTCACCCACAAAAAGGAAGTGTTTCGTCAACAACATTCGTTTTTTTCTTTTTTTTGTGTTCTTTTTTCAGTGTTAATTCTAAAAGGGAGATGTCGTAAATATCGCCTAATACCTCAACAAAAAACAAAATTCCGAAGAAAAAAAAAACTTCCCTCGGGGGATTGAACTAATATTCTGCTATTTATGAAGCGCACATCTTACCCACTGAGCTAATCCACAGCTTTTTTTTTTCTCTTCAAAAGTGTTTATTTGCATGGCTATATACACGAGAACACTATGTACAGTCGGGAGCAAAAGTTTGCGGGGCACGGGAGCGCGTGCCGAAAGGCATCGCCGCGCCGTCCGACGGCGCGCCGCCGCATTAAGGAGCCACGCTTTGCGCATGCGCGCCTTTCGTGCTCGCCATCATGTCACTTTCGCTCGTTTCTTTCCGACTCACTCCTGATAAACAAAGTCGGCGCCCGGGGCGCGAGTAAACGCTTCGCTGGCTGTCATGCTGGGCGTCTGCATCAGCTGCCTCGGCCGCCGCGATCTGTGACGGAGCACGCGGGGTGGGATAACCAGGCGCTTTGTCACCCAGCGTGGCTGCTGAGGCAGCGCAAGATGACTCGAGGCATGACAGTCAGCGAAACGGCAACTTGCGCCCCTGGCGCCGACTCCGGTTATCAGGAATGAGTCGGACAGAAACGAGCGAAAAAGACATGACTGCCAGCACGAAGGGCGCGCATGCGCAAAGCGCGGCTTTTTAATGCGGCGGGGCGCCGTTGCACGGCGCGGCGATGCATTTCGGCACGCGCTGCCGTGCCCCGCAAACTTTTGCTCCCGACTGTACAATTTACATTATGTACAAAGCGTCAAAGACACAAAAGAATTGAACGGTTGTCAACCTATACAAGGAGAGTGTTACTAGAAATAATAGAAAGCTCGGAAATAGTGGAAACAAAGGATGTACAGCACACTTCAGTTTTCCTCTGCAGGGAGTTGGCAAAGAGGGCCCTAAACTGTTAAAATTCTGGTCTAGTGACACAGACTCATATGACGTCAGGTGAACGACTGATACTTTCAATGGCTTGTTTCCATTCTTCCCCGAAGGAAAATTCCATCAATGTAACACTGTTTGGCAGTCAATGTTTTCTAGTGGACCGCTGACTGTGCCTGACTGTACGTCAAGCATGTCTGATTGGACAACAAGTTACTCTGACCGACAGTCAAACTCCAGTCAGACCCCGCTTGTCGGCTTTCTGATGGTTTCCTGGTGGCAGTCGGCCGCCGCGAAATGCCATCAGGATGTCCTGGTGGTGATTCTGACTGTACATCGATTGTTTCTGACTGTACGTCAGAAAGCTTTGACGTGCAGACAGAAGTACGGTCAAAGGACGTAAAGTTCGTTCGGATACCACTATTTCGTCAAATCTATGAATACGAAAAGTAATCTATGCACGAGAAAACGATTTCGGGACGTGAGCCCATAAAACCGCTGACGTTAGAGATGTGACACGCAACCGACCGACAACCTTGATCAGAAGCCCGCCGAAGCCGCCGAGGCGTCGAACACGACACCACGACCTGTGACCACGACACTTCGCACTTCGCTTCGCCCATGTGGGCTTCGCCGAGCTTCCATGAACGATCGCTCTCGACTCGTTTTGTTTGCCCGCTTTCTCCAACCTGTCGATCCTGCCCCGGGCTCTACAATGTCTTACGTTTTAGTAGAATTTCTACTCGACAAGACCCAGCCTGTTGTGAGTTCCGACAATGTAAGGCACTTTAGCGGTGTAGTTGAAGACGACAAGGTGTACTACTGGGCCGGAGACGCTCCAACGAAAGGAGGATTCTACGACGCGAAACTACTGTGCATGGCAGGTGAGTAGAACTGAAGTACGGCGATTGATGTACGATTGCTTGGTTTAACTGCATATGCAGCCGAAGCACTTTTTAGAGCGATGCACTCATTGTCGGAACCTCTCGCTGCAATACTGAAATGCTCTTGACTCGGTCCGAGAGGTTTAGGCAAGAAAGTTTATATCTTTCTATCAGGTGTGCACGGTAAAAACGTTCCGTAAAAAAACGCAGCGCTTCTCATTAAAAGCTACGGAGAAGCGTCCGTAATCTGAAATATGATTGACTTGTCCGTAAATCTAAAGTTACGATTCTTTAAACAACTAAAATTGTTTGCGACAAGCTGGAAGTTGTTTTATTTGGTTTAGACTAATAGACAACGGTTCTCGCATTTTAAAGAATCATTTAGTGCACTGTCAATCAACTAATGATAAACGTTCCGAAACGAGGTGGCGCTAGTTACCGCTCAATTGAAAAGCACGAGGTGAGATTTTTGTCTAGTATAATCACACTGCCGCTATCTCTTCATCTACCCATCTCCGCTCGGTCGTTTTGCTGCCGTTACGGCCGTTACTGCCGCGCTTGTTTTGTCGAGGGGTAGAGGTGCTTGGTGGTTTTTGTGCGAGCTTTCCTTGTTGTTATCAAAACGGTGAGTTTGTTCTGCTCTTTTTATTAACATTGATTGGGGACTGTCATATATACTTTCGTATTTTTGACACTTCTTTCCTCGAAAGAAACGAAACCACGGATTTGCGTCGCTTGAAACTTTCGGGTTCAATGACTGTCGCTGCTATCTCAGTTCGTGTTTGACGTTCTTCTCAGAGTTGAAAGCTCAAGTCGGGTGCTCTTTTGAACCTTGTGTCATGTCGTGAGCTCGCTGGGACGCGCGGTTCGTCGTTTGTAGCGATTGGGAGGCTATTCGCGCGTGCTGGCTCGCAAGAGTTGCAGTAAAGCACGTGACAACCCATCGTCTGAGTGCGTGAGTGCGCTTTACGAGTTTCGCATCGTTGTTCGCGCTTCCTGTAGCCTTCTCATTTCGCCGAGGGGTCCATATCGTTTCGTCGAAATTCGTTTCGCGGCAGTACGTTTCGTGGACAACTTTTTATGGACACGTTTCGTCGACACGAACGTTTCATCGACACTCGTTACGCGAATTGCATGCTGCAGTGACGTTTCGCCACTCGTGTATCACTGAAGTGCGCGTAAACCCACACCCCCGCCTGCGTTCCCACCACTTCGCGGCGACAGTCTGCGGCTGCTCGTTACAAAAATGTTAACCCACCTAACCGACCCGTACAGGTCGCTTCGCGGCGACAGTCTCATGCAGCTTACCCCCCCCCCCCCCCCCCCCCCCGAAAAAAAAAAAAAAAAGAAGGTTAATTCGAGCTGTCGATGAAACGATCTGTCGAGGAAACGTCGTTCGATGAACTGATTCCCCATTGGTGTATCACCACTGCGTACTTCACGTTCACTGGTTGGTTAGCAGTCATAATGCAGCCGATGAATTTCTCATTTCACAGAATGCACTTGTGTCACTGTACGCTGATTCCCCCCAACCAGATGGTCTAAGATCATCGTATTGATATTCATTTTTATGCTCATAATATTCTATGTGTATATTAAAGCAATATACCTCCGCTCAATACTTGCACGGCGCCACTCAGGAGGGCGCGTAATACCACTGTTCCACGGACTGCAAAATTGTGTGCATTAATCTTGGCTCCTCAGTCAGACTGTTTGTAAGGAACATAGCCATGGTTCCTGCAGTTTCAAATTGTCTGAGATGCAAGCTCATATTTTTTTCAGGAGGCGTCTTCAACGACAATTGCTTCCTTGTCACTGAGCATTGGCCAATGTTTAAAGAGCCTATGCCATTTTTGAAGGCGGTATGCGTCTTGTTTGGAGCTTTTTACGTGTTGAATTTACCTATTCAATGGAAGCCTTGGCCACTCTCGAGTTTATGCAAATGTGAGAAAATCTTGAAATGCGTCAAGTCCACAGGATGTGTCATAGAATGACATAATCTAGATTACCCTATCATTTATCGTGCCGTAGCGCCCTTTTTCACAACTCGCACAAACATTTGAGTTGTACTAATTTTACAAAGAATTACGCTGCTGCATATTTATAATGAATTGATAACGTGGGAACACTGGTTGTCATTAGGCTGTAACTTTCAAGGCAGGGAAGCATGGTTATCTTGTATAGACCAGCACGCAGCACTGACGTCGCACAGCTGCGGTGGCGCTGTCGGCGGCACAGCGCAGACGCTTCACTTTACGCGAATTTGGTTTTTGCGCACGCACAGTGCTCACACCTGGTCTGGCCAACGCGGGCTTGCTTATAAACATGGTGTCGGTCTATAGAATGTGTGCTTGTTCAGCAGTCATTCAGGTTTAACATGTTCCAACACTACCATAGTCTGACTTGATAGTAGAAAATAAATGGCTTCACCTTCACCAGGCTGAGTATGCTTGAAGCAGGCATGGCATTAATGTTAGATGATGCAATATATCCTCCTAGACCAATCTTCCAAATCAACCTGGAGAAGGGCTTGAAGAAAATGGGAGGAGTGAAGCGAACGACGGCCCAGCTCAAGATTTTAGCGATGCTG